GATACCAAGTTGTTGAGGGCCCGGGAATAGGATCTCGTCACGGGTCGGTCCACGGGGAAAACCTCCTGTTTTCCCTTGTTCCTTCCTGCTCGTGATGAACCTATCTTGGCGCCTTCGGTGATTTGTCCAAGAGATTACCAACTCTCCTAACTCCCTCTTGACTGAATAATTTGATATCTCATTCAATAATGGGTCTCCTTAAATAGGAGATTACAAGAGTCATAATCAAAGGGAGTCTCCTTGCTGAATAGGGAGACTTCCAGTTCTATCTTGCTAAGGATAAGATAAGCTAATCCTAATCTGATAAGCTACTAACAAGATAAGATAAGCTAAGCTAATCCTAATCTGATAAGCTACTAACAAGATAAGATAAGCTAAGCTAATCCTAATCTGATAAGCTATTAACAAGATAAGATAAGAGATAAGAACAATAAGATAAGAACAAGCAAAATGAGCTAATCTAATCTAGATAAGGCTGCTGTTGCCGAACTGGGTAGGATGAGCATCACTGAATCCTTGTTGCTGCTGGCGGTGGGCCCGGGGCCTGTTGCTGCCGGCGGTGATGGTACGTCTTCCCGAGTAAGGCGTCCATAACATGCTCCAGTATGGCAAATAAACTTTCTTTCTCCATTAATATCGAAGGAATGAAGCTCCACACTGAAACATATCCAGAAAGTATAGTCAATTGGAACTGACTTAGATGGGCTCTTTAATAGATCCTTCATACTACACCTCAAGAGTGAAACTAACCAAACTTGCTATCAACAGTCAAGATCCTAAACCTCACTTTGGCATGCACTGTTCTTTTAAATTTTAGTGGCACTGGTTCTAACATTGTGGATCTTTTTATATCAAAATATACAGAATAGTATAAATCCCTCTAAGTGCCTTCGGAAAGAAAAACAATTCTATCTACTGGACTACACAGGAGGTCTTTCTGAGGTGCATTTTGCCTGGTCATTTTAGTTTGTTTTTTTGGACTGTGTATGCAGTTTCTGTTGTCATTTGTTATATTAGCGCTTTATAATTCTATCATCTGTTCCTTGTTCCAAATCATTGTGATATTCCTGGTGCTATCTTGTCCTTATTGTGAATTCCTTTTGTCAAGCTTAATGAGTAAAGGGAAAAGTTACAATATGACACCATGTCTTATGCTGTATTTTGGGGAGGGAAAAAGAAGGCCATGTCATCCACTGTAACACTTAAAAAAGCTCCCAATTAGAAGACACAATTTATTCCACAGGGAAAGTAAGTTTCCTGGTACAACTGCCTTTAGAGAACCTGTCTTTTGCTAGCCCATCAGCAGTCAAACTGGATAATCTAAGAATTCCCTCAATCTTGTCTTTTATTTTAAAATTAACTATCATGAAATCACTGGCCTTTGTTTGAATCACATCCCCTTTCTTTTAGGCAAGATTGTACCGACCATCTCCATCTTTGTTTTTTTATCAACAACTTTTTTTGATAAATGAAGAATTTATTAACGGAATAAACCACTGTTACAGAATACACTTGGAGAGGTACGAGCCGCAACCTCTCCAACCCATCAATATGAAACAACACCAATATATTAAGAAGCATATGACAAACTAAAATATCATAAGCTTTCATTCTTTTTAACCTATCAAACAAGATCAATTTTGGTCCTTGGAGTTGAGTAAGCGACTTTGCTTTTAGTGAAGTCAAATCCCATCTCCAACAGGTGTTGAGAAACTAAACAGTATGGTTTACTCATGTTTCTGATCAAATCTCTAATGCCTGACAGTCCTGTGTTTCTGAAAGAGCGCATGTGAAGTTTGAGTTTTATTATCCCCCTTTTTAGGAGCAATTCAATGATTGGAAATATGACATCTTTGAGGAGCATAAAAAACACGGTTCCCTCATGATTTCTGATCAGGTTCCCATTGCCATACAGTCCAGTATTTCCGAAGGAACAATAGCAAAGTTGAATTTTATTATCCTGCTTTTAGGAACAATCCAATCATTGGATATAGGGCATCCTTGAGGAGCATAAATAACAGCAAAAGAATTCCTACCCCTGACGATAGCATCCATTGAAGTACCCTTGAATCCTCCAAAGTGGATATCCATTGGGCTACTTAAACAGCAGTAATATCATGCACAATGCTCACCTCTTGACTTTTGTTATTGAAAATAGAGAATGTGAACTTTAATGATGGTAATCCTACCACCAAGAGAGCTGTAATTCTTCTTCCTTGTAGACAGTTTCTTAGAGAATTTCCCCACTATTAAGTCATAAATGAGATTGACCTAAGGTTCCCTAAGGGTAAGCTAAGACATTTTTAGGGCAACAAAGCAGCTCTAAAACCTATGGCAGAAACTGCTTCCTTCTCAGCACTCAAACTGATTCTTGAAACACTACACCATAATAAATTCTCCTTTAGAACAGATAACCTTTCAAAAATCTCAAATACAGCTTTGAAGTTCAGGAAATGTCCTGCCCCCTTGAACTCACAAAAGATGATGGTATCATCAGAAAACTGAATGACCTCTACCACCAAAATGAAGAGGGGAAAGTGGATCTTCCTATTTTAATCCCCTCAGGACCTTGGAAATACCATTTTGGGAACCATGTATGAGGACAAAATAGTGATTAGAGGACACACAACCAATCACCCACCTAATCCATTTGGGCCAAAATCCGTTGGGGAGAGAATCCATTCCCCACTTAATATGATCATAGGTCTTTTCAAGGTCTAGCTCGCACATCRTTTCTGTCCTTGTGCCATTACATAGGATATCATTTTTCCACTTAGGTTTTTATTCTATTCATTTACCGTGTTTAGATTGGAGATACATTATTCATGGTGGGATGCCAAACCCATAGGTTCTCAACTGAGTTAAAACAAACAAAATACAAAAAGGTTGAATAATTTTTTCTTCTAACCAGTAGGTATTCTGGATGATAATGGTACCTTGGACCTCATGTTACTGAAAGTTTTCGCTTCAGCTTTAATGGTCCCATAGAGACAAAAAAAATGTTCCTTTCAATAATATCTGTTGGGCATTTATGTGCTTCAGTTTTCTGCTGAACTTCAAATGAGCATATTAAGGTATGCAGAGTTTTTCATATGGTTGCAGCTCCACAGATAACCAATGATTGACTTACATGTTGTCTACCTTTTCTCCAACATATTCGTTTTGCCTTTATGTTTTGGTTAAAAAATTTGGCAATTCGATATAACATTTTTCTTCTCTAATTGTGTGATGCAGATGGTATTTTCTTGGTTGAGGTCGATAGAGTTCTGAAACCAGGTGGATACTTTGTTTGGACTTCACCTATAACTAATGCTCAATCCCTTCGTAACAAACAGGATCAAAAGAAATGGACAATTGTTCACAATTTTGCAGAAAACCTCTGCTGGGACATGTTGTCGCAACAAGAGGAAACTGTTGTTTGGAAGAAGACAAGCAAAAAAGATTGTTATGCTTCTCGGTGAGGCATTTAATAATTCCCTCAAACATATTATTTTATTAATTGGAATGTAATTTATTTAGTTGCTTAAAAATTCATTTATGATCAAGGTGAGGACCTTGAATCTAGTTACCTACTGCTTGATGGATTTCTAGGAAGTCAGGTTCCGGACCTCCTATCTGCAGTAAAGGTCAAGATGTTGAAACTCCATATTATCGACCTCTCCAGCTTTGCATCGGAGGAACTCACAGTCGCCGATGGGTTCCTATTGAAAGAAGAACAACCTGGCCATCTAGGTCTAAGTTGAACTCAAGTGAACTTGAAATTCATGGTAATTTCATTGTACWTTAGCTTGTTGAGCAGTTCCTTTGGAGCAATAGATGATCATAAGCAATGAATCCCTTTACATTTCCTCTGCTTTGATATTCATTAATGGTTTTCATGTTTCTCAGGTGTACATCCAGAAGAGATTGCTGAGGATGCTATAAACTGGAACTCAGCAGTTCGTAATTACTGGTCCCTTCTCTCACCTTTGATTTTCTCAGATCATCCTAAGAGACCTGGTGATGAGGATCCTTCTCCGCCTTTTAATATGCTGAGAAATGTACTGGACATGAATGCTCGGTTTGGTGGTTTAAATTCTGCGTTGCTAGATGCTGGGAAAACTGTTTGGGTAATGAATGTAGTCCCTACAAGTGGACCAAACTACCTTCCTCTGATCCTTGATAGGGGATTTGTTGGTGTCTTACATGACTGGTATGTAAATTCTTTTTTTTTTATGTTCTTCTTACTATAAATTCCAATTTCTTATTTGGTCCTTTCTGGTTGTCCTTCCAACTTAACATTTAGGAGTTATGGCCAACTGCGATTTGAATTAAACTGGCTCCATGTAACGTTACAACAAGATATGGGTGTCAAGAGTGGTCTAAACTTTCTCTTCTTCTTTGATGGTGGAGACTGAATGCTAACATTCGAGTTTTATCTTGCTTCCTAGCAGAAGTTATCTGACTGATGAACTATCTATTATCTCTTGCTGTGTAATTACAAACTTCCATCATAACCTCATCCCATTTCTACACTATGCAGTGCCAAAATTTCTGTCTAGAAGGTTTGACCTTGTTAGCTACTGATAAAGAACACATATGAATGTGAATCTTATTATCTTCAATGGACCGTGGTTCCATATCATTGAAAGTTTCAAAGTATTGTATTGCTAAGATTTTTTTTTTTTTTTGATAAATGAGTGTGTATTGCTAAGAATTTTACAAAGGCAATTTTAAGAGACATACCATGGTATGTGTGGAAAACATTGACAAACAACAGAAGAATTGAGATACACATAGATATGCTGGGGAAACTGACATAAATCTCACAAATACGTTAACAACACTAATTCTAAGATCCACATGGATATAGATAGGTAATAAAAAATTAAAAATATAACAAACATATAATAGATATTTTATATGAAGCCATGAATGGATGTAAGCATACCWGGCATATAGAGATTACATGATAACTTCAATAATGCTTCATTTTACTAGAAGTTCGTTTGAGTTGCAGTCATACATTACATCAATGTGCGTTGCCGTGAGTTGATGTGTATTGTCTGATACATGATCGATCCAGACTGTTCACTAAATGGGTCTTCTCATAGATGAATCCCAGATGTCAGTATGAGAGATCTTAACATTCTGATATAGAAACTGGACATAAATAGGAATAACAAGATTACTTTAGAATGGGAAACTGCACATAGTGAGTGTTTAGAAAGTATCCTATTTTGATCAAGTTCTTGGGCTCTTATGCACAGATTATATGGGACAACTGATAAGTCCACAATTCARTTCATTGAGAACAAAAGGCCTTCAGCCACAATAAAATTTCTCCTACATTATGTGCTTTTTTTGGAGATCCTTGTAAAAATGCTTTCGTTATGATTGTCTTTTAAACTCAATGATATCTTTATTCCAGGTGTGAAGCATTTCCAACATACCCTAGAACTTATGATATGGTGCATGCTGAAGGGCTTCTATCACTTCAAACTAGTAAACAGCATAGGTGCACCATGCTTGATTTATTTGCTGAGATAGACAGGCTTCTTCGTCCAGAGGTATCTTTCCTCATTTATGCCTCTAGTATTCTATATTTGATAATCATCTCTTTCTTTTTGGAGGCAATGTTCTACTCTGAAGGTTAGTAATTAGATGTGTGCGAACTATTCCATACCTTTCTTCATAATATCCTCTCTATATAACTAAGAGCAATGTTGCAGAGCCTTTGCAAACAAACTCATCTGCATAAGAGCTTTCAACCTCTAATTTGGTCAGCTTTGGGATTCAGCTTTGCAAAACTGACAAAGGCAGAGTGTATTGGTTTCATTACACTTTATGCCTGGAAAATATCAGTGGTCCTCAGTTAAATCATGAATACTTAATGTTCTATCATGATGTAATTTCACCATTTGATTTTATCTTATATGCGATCTATCTTTTTCATCCATGATCCATGGTACAGTACCATGGAGCAAGTGATTTGTTTTGAAAATTTGCAACATGCTGCAATGATTATTGTTCTGTTTGCTTTAGAGTTGGAACATGAACATGTATATTAAAGAATTCTCATATATACCAAAGAACTAAAAATAAAAAGAAAGAAAAGAATAATAAAAACTCTTGTGTGTACCTGTAAGTTTTCAGTTGCATGTCTCTGAGCATTTTTTATTTTTTTTGAAAGAGCATGTCTGTGAGCATGAGATGCTTGAAATGCTTATATAGAAAAGTACAGGAAAAGGAAAAAAAGTAGCACATCTCATCGGTAAAAAATGACATCAGATTGGTTTTCTGGTTTTTTTACTGGCACAGTAGGGTTCTGTCACTATGTACTTTTATTATATGGTTCATAGTTAATATCTTATTTTCAGAAACAATTTGAGATACTTCTCATGGATTCAAAATATAAGAAATCTGACTATCTTTGAATCACAAGGGTGTCTTTGGATTGTTGGAATTGAGGTTGGGAATTGGAATAATAGGTTGGTATTTTTGGGTGTTTGGATGTGCCCAAATCATATGAATCAGAATATCCATGTAATCCCAGTTCATTCATTTATGAGAATTCAAACCGCCACTCCCTTTTTTTAATCCCCCTATCCATAGGAATTGGGTAATTGACCAACCAAACAATGACGCAGATCCTGGTGTCTCAAAAGATTGACTTGTAACATCATGTAATATCATAAATATAAATATCATAGTGATGGTGATAGTGATTAAAAATAACTATAAGATAAATTATTAAAATATCAATAAGGCAATATTAATACTTAAAAATTAAACAATGATGATGATGATAATGACAATAAATAACTCAAAGTATATATGTATATCAATATCCAATAAGAATTAACTATTTTTAGGTTATATATAATGGTTTAGCTCCATTTTATGACCTAACAATTTTTAATAATGAGAAAGTAGTCAAATGTCTTTTTTTTTATCTTTAAACAATCTAAAAGAAGAGAATATAAAAAACCAAAAGTAAGTCATATGAAGTTATTTGGCTTTTTACATAATAACAATAACAGTAATAAATGGTAAAGAAGGGCAACATTAAATAAGAACCATAAAGAAATATAAAGAAAAAAAATTGTATAGAGCACTTAAAAATCATTGTCTAACAAAAAGTAATTCATTTATGCTTATTATAGAAATCATTTTCGCTATCATCCAAACCTTATCCCAACTATATGGGGTTGGCTACGTGAATATTGTTTTGCCATTCCGTTTTGTTATAAAGCCAATTATACTTTTTTATAGAAAACATATCATAAAAATATGACGGTTTTAAAAACGCATTTCCTTGCTAAAATGAACAAAATGTGATTTGTGAAAAAATTATATTTATTAAGGCTATGTTTGGTTTGAAGGAAAAGGTAGGGAAAGACAGGGAAACCTATACAAGGTTTGTAAAGGTTTCCTTACCTTTCCCTACCTTTTCCTTCAAACCAAACATGGTCTAAAGGAATGGTAAACCATTATTTAGTTAGAGTAGTTTAAGAGACATTTTGAATTATTCTTGGCCAATTTGATGGATTTCCGTGCGTGTGTGTGTGTGTTAAGTAGATAAATTCCCATGTATTGCCCAACCAATGAACTTTTTAAGTTATGTTCAAATACACATTGCTAATTCATATACATCTATCAAAAAAAAAAAAAAAATCAATATACATTAGAGTTTCCATGTGAAATCCAAATTTAGGGGTGCAACTTGGGCGGGCTGTAAAATGCTAACCCGGGCTAATCTGAGTTGCACCCCAATCCAAAATCACACAACACAAACACACCAAAAGGAAACTGTGAAATCATGCATATGGTGCATTAATAAGTTGTAGGACGTTACTGTCTTCTGGTTGCTCTCTCAGTTGGGAGATCCATATCGCAAGCAGCCAACCTGATCAGTTGATCATAGCTTTGGTTTATCTGGCATTGAAGGGTGTATTAGTATAATTTGTGTCGTGCTGGTGGCATGCCAATATACAATCACTTGTGTATTACATCAACCGTTATTAGTAAAAAGAATCAAGGATCTAACAATTAAGTGAACTTCTACTATTTAAAATGATCATGTTTTTTGGTTATTCCTACGTGCTTGAAATGCCTAACAATGTGCGGCTCATGCAGGGATGGGTGATACTTCACGACACAGCCTCTCTTATTGAATCAGGAAGAGCCCTTGCAACACGATTAAAATGGGATGCACGGGTGGTAGAACTGGAGAGTAACAGTGATGAGAAACTTCTTGTCTGCCAAAAACCTTTCTTTAAGAGACAACAAAAGTAAATACGAATTTTTTACAAGCAAAGCCTTCAGAGATTCATATCATAAGATAAATTATTTTTCTGGATGTTAGTTAATCATCATTAAGGTACAACCGTGGACGGAAGAGTTGGGAATGATTGTTGAACAGAGGTAAACCAACAAGCAGAGAAAGGAGAGGCAACAATGAGACTGGTGGTGGCGACCTACCACAAACTTCTATGGAACCGCAAGGCGTCCATAGGACCATGTAATTAGGGGGAGATCAGGAGAGGGGATACAATGATAGAGTTTTAACTTCTCTGTTATAGCCCATTATAACAATACAACCCCGATGAATGATATATATATAGATTGTTAAGAAGATGTCAGAATAAACAAGCATTGCTTTACTGTAGTATATATTAAAGGCTGTCCAATGCATTTATGTAAGGAATTCTTTTATTCTATTTTTTTCTTGTTTATCTTTTTTTCTTTAGTACAACTCTTATAAATTGTTAGTAAGTTGGCGGCATAAAAAAGTGATGCTCGCTGTATTATCTTGAACTCTGGCCAATGCAATTACATATTTACATTAAGAAATTCTCTTTTTTTTTTTTACCATGTTGTAAAACTTCATTGATGTTTGGGGCTTCATTTTTAGTGCTTTACACTATTCATGATGTTTCAGCCAAACTCTTTATATACTTTTTATCCGGTCTGAATGTACAGCCCACTCCGATAGAAAAAATAAAAAATTTAAAAAACCAAAAAAAACAAACAGCCAAAAACCGTTTTAGGGTCGAACGGTTTGACGGTCCGACTGTTTGGGTCAGCAGTTTGCCTGACCAAATCAATGATTTTTGGCCAAAAGGCAATTTTAGGGTTAAACGGAACCGGTAAGGTGACTGATTCCTGGTTTTTCTGGTCCAACCATCTGGTTAGGCCCGGTTTTGAAAACATTGTTAAAAAGTATTAACATGTCTTTGAATTTCTGGAATTTTTGAGACCAAAATATCTCTGTTTGTTAATTCCAAGGTCAAATTGTAAGGAGGCATAATGATTAATATAAGAAATAGGGGTACAAGTCGGGCAGGTTGAGCCGGGTTTACGGTCAACCTGGGTCCGAYACTAAAATTTGGGCTTAAGGCCCAAGCCCGAACCGAGTCCGTGGTCAAGCCCGGTCTTTTCAACCCAAGCCTAGCCTGTTGATGCACTCGGGTATATGTATGCAAAATTTACATATATCTATACGTATATGTGTATGAATATGTATAGTTGGACTGGGCTCTGGCTACTTAAGGGCTAAGCCCAGGCTCAGCTCAAAAAATAAATAAAATAAAATAAAATAAAACTTGACTTCTTGAATTCAAACCCAATCCGAGGACTGAAAATCCAAACCCAGCTGGCCAGCTCATATAAAATTTTGGGCCGATCCGGTTCGGGCTCAATCTGGGCCCGCCCAAGTTGTACCCCTAATAAGAAGTGCCGCTAATGTTTTTAGTTGTTTTCATAATTGAAGTTTCCCTGTTTGGTAATTTATAATTCTGCCATTCTCAGCAGATCTCCAGTGGTTGCATTTTCATTTTGACTCAAAATTATTGAATTTTTCACATATTATTCAAAACAAGTTATTAAATAGGTTGTTTGACCTATTAGCCTCTCAAACTTCTATTTAGTAGTATTAGACCACTGAAGTTCAAGGGTATAAGAATAAAACTGGTAAGTCCACTAATTAAACAGTTGAGAATGGTTATATGTAATTATCCAAGAGAGAGAGTGTGTGGTTAGATGCCAGTTTTTTTCACTTTTTTGAGAAATATCCAATGCAATCACACCAAGTTGGAATACTCTACAGTCTAGAGGTCTTTCACCGCCTCACATCCACTTTCCTCCTTTTTAAAGTAATACTAGTGGAGAATTAAAATTATAATTAAATTCATTAATTCAAATCTATTATAATAAAGAAAATACAATTTGAGATGAAAATATCGACTTGATCGCAAGTTGGAAAGAATTTGGATTTAGGCAATTAGAAAGTGGTTCGATTGATTTTTGATAACTTATGATTATTTCTTTGTTATTATTTTTTCATCTATTTGTATGTGTGTTATCTACTATCGTTTGCGTCTTTTTTTTTTGTATTGTCTAATATGCACTTTTCACTATTTCATCAAAAAATATAAAGTGGGTTGTGTCATACCGGCACAACATGATTTTGCGGGTTGTCTATGCTTTGTAGGCCATGCCATGCCGACACATGGTCTTGGGTGGGTCATCCCTACCGGCCTGAAACTCTTCAAAGGTTAGGCCTACAACTCAAGCCTTGGGTTGGGTTGATGCTCGGGTTAGGGTTAGGGTTGAAATTTATTATCCCAACTTTACTTTGGATTGGGTTAGGATTGATCCCTCAGGCAACCCGACCCAACTCTATAGTATATATCATGTATAAATATATGCTATATGTGTGATATATCATACATTAGTTTGTTTAGATGCATGATAGTTGTATAGCCCCCACCACATACTATCATTTATTTCTTTTAAGATAATCACTTCACTTAACCCTAATTGAAAATACTAAAACCTTAATAACATATTTTCTGTTTTTTAAATATTTTATTCTTTATCTCCTCTCTATTATTTGCCACCCATAGCTTGCTGCCCATAAAAGATCTATTATAAGTCATGATTCATAATAAAATATAGTCATTTCAAACACTTTTTTTCTAAATTTTGTACTTAAAAAACCAAGAAAAACATCAACAAACAAATACTAATAAAACATAGGATTGATATATGTAGTGAAAGTTGAGTTAAGATCTGAGATTAAGAAGTTTGTATGAGATTTTAAGGGATGGGAAGAAGGTTGGGTTGGGCCCAACTTGAGCCCAACCCAACCCGAAGTTGACCTTGGGTTGGGTTGGATTGGATTGGGTTGAAGGAATTTAGTTAGGGTTAGGGTTGGGTTGGTTGGTTAAGGTTGGGGGTTTAGAACTTAGGGTTGGGCTAGGGTTGGCCTCAACCCAATCTAACCTAGCACGACTTGTAGCCCTAAGCCCAAATAGGCTCAACCATAGGCCAAGGGTGTGAGAGGCATGATTTTTTATTAAAAATTTGAAAAATAATGAAAAGTTAAATAAAGTAACAAAATAAACAAGAAATTGAAAAAAAAATCTTAAAATTTTATTCTATATAAATTTTGATGTATACAATTGTTTATATATGAAATAATAAAATGAAATTAAAAAATTACAATATAATTTGAATAAAATAGTACAATAAAATTATATATATATATATATATAATTCATATCTTTAAAACATTAATGAATCAAAACATATCTTCAAACTCATAACTTTCCTACTTTGCTCTTGTCTATTTTTTACATTTAATCTTTCAATGTTTCTTAATCTATCAAATTCTTACCGAAAGTTGGTCAATTAGTATCTCTTTCCCAATGACAAACTTTACAATGTCTTTTTGCAATAAGTATTGGGTTGCATGGTAAAGATAACTTCATTTATTTGGGTGAAACATATCCATCTCCTAAGTGGATAAATAATTTTCCCATCAGGGAAAGTTTATAAAATATGATTAGATAAGCTTGTCTTTYTCAACATTAGCTTTTTATGGATAAAAAAATCATCATATTAGTCACATGAGAATCAAAAGAACATGAATAAACGAATAAATATTACCCTAAAAACATTTACCTAAATAAATACATGTACCAAAGTAAATAAGAAATTTGTAAATGAATAAGACCTTAATATCGTGAAAATAACGTCCGAAGTCATTTCTTTCATCTCCCCCATCTGGCTTCACAGCTTCATAATTCCAATGTATGTTAACAGTTAAAATGCATATGTCAATTTCTCTTCCACGTCCTCATTCTGCACTGCTCTTTTATATTTTCTTCCCATTCTTTGATCTTCATTTTCACAGAAAATTTTCTCTCATCCTATTGTTAGGTTAAAGTTAAACTGGATATCAGCGCCTGCTGTGACTAGAGCCCACCAACTGATCAACTGGTCGCATTTACGTGATCCATACCGGCTCGTAGCTGGAGGTGTATGCATGATCATCAGATCAGTTTCATCATTGGGGCAATCCTCGCCAAGGACCACTACAACAATTTGGTGCAATAGCATGCTGATCAGCTGATGTAATTGCTTTTTAAAGCATGTTCCATATGAGGATTCTGTAAGACCTGTAACGAAAAAATAAATAAATAAAAGAAAATAATTTGTTAGTTGATCTTATTGAAAAGAGTAATAATGGATTTTATCAGGGAAAATTAAGACCTAAGAGGGTTTCATTGTGATTTCTTATATTTTAATAATTAAATTAAAAAAATGGCAACATATATGAGAAATAAGAAGATATTACAGTACTTATTGTTTAAATTTAAATTATAATAATAAAATTCATCATTGTCCTATGATAAAAAACATTCTTAAAACTTTCTCTCTCTCCAATGGTCAATATTTCTAATGTACCCTTTAAATATCCCATTTCTTCTCAAATCTTTTTGAATCCATTTTAACTCTCCCTAATAAATTAAATGGGTTTGGTTGTTTCAAGGATCAACCCTAACCCTAGACATGGACCTTGACCTGAACCCAAATTGATGTTAAAATTCAAATTGATCAATCAAATTATATAGGGCATTGTAATAATTTTTTCTTATAATAATCATTAATTATGATAATAAATAATAATTATTAAAATTAATAATTTCTATTTTATATTTATTCATTGATTTCACTTCCTATTTTGATGTTATGACTCCATACAAAATGTCATAAGGTTTGACTAAGATACCGGACATACATGATACTAGAAATGCTTACAGCGATTCAATTGGTATCATAGAAAAAGTTACCAATCTGATGGTGTTCATCAAAATTTATAGGGTTCTTTGATCGATCAAGTCACTTCCCATATCATGTCTTTCCGGTATCATAAATTTTTCCTTCATTTGATCTTTTTGTTTTTTTTTTTTTTGTTTAGGCTCAGTTTGGAAGGAGTACAAATGCAAATTTGTATAGTGTAAAGCAAATGAAAGATTGAAAACCAAATTTCACTCTAGATCCCATGTTGCTAACATTTTGCGGATTTCATGCATGCATTGGACCTGCTTCACAAAATGAGAACGAATCCATGTTGAAGAATACCGATGATTTCTCTGATTCTTGAGAATCGCTGAAATCAGAATCACTGTGGGAGTAAATGTGAGAATCGCGCACAGGAATATGTTCAAAATTTCAAATTAGGAAACGCCCCATTAGTCTTCTTCTGGATCTACCACACAACTTATTTCATTGTCCAGCTACATTACCAATTAAGTTGGGTACTTGGATTATCTTCCAACACTACTCTGGTTGGAGTAATTTCGTATTTTCGTGGTGCTACTTTTGATTCCGTTAAATGGTGCCAGAATGGAGGTTGCTAGGGGTGATCCCTCGTAGGGAGTCACCCCTGTCCCTTTTTTCTTTCTCTCTCTGTTTTAAGGGAGTCTCTCTTTCGAGATCTTTCGAGGTTCTTYCCTTTTCTGTCCTGT